GCTTTGCAGTCTGGCGCATTAACCCACAGCGCCACACGCGGAGTCAATTCCAACACATAGCGACCCCACGTGACAGAGTAGAATTGTCCCCACAGAGTTTCTTAGGCATACCTTGGTTTACTGCGCTTCACAGAGATTGTCTTACAAACTGAAGGTCTGTGACACCCCACATCCAGCAAGTCCAGCAACATGTGCCCACGTTGTGTCTCTGGGTCACAATTTGGACATTCTCACAATATTTCAAACTTTTTCATAATGCTATTTATTATACATGTAGGATTAGCACTGAACTGTGAACTACAAGGTCGGCAGTTCAAAACCCACCAGCTACTTGTTGCTATGAGTCAGAACTGACTCGATATCACTGAACAATTACAACAGTTGCACATGTAATAAATTTGTTGTTGTTAAGAGCTATCGAGTCGGTTCTGACTCATAGCAACACTGTATAGGGTTTCTGAGGAGAGGCTGGTGGATTTGAACCGCCAACCTTGAGGTTAGCAGTTTTTCAGTGTTTATTTTACATTGCCACACCAAGACTCGGCTTAATGGACTACTCAAACCCAAAACCGACCCACGAGCAGCTAGCCAATTATGACCCCATAAAGGGGCTGCTGGGTTTGAACCACCAACACCATGTCTAACCCACAGGGCCACCAGGGTTTCTTTTTCTAGTGTGACCTCATGTTAACTGGTAGCATCTGCAGAGACCCTGCTTCTAAATAAAGTCATTGTTACAACAAACCGAGGAACACCCATGGTTGCCAGAAAAGAAGGAAATTTCGGATTGGTCGAACCCGGGCTGAGGTAGCAAAACCAGAAGAAGCTCAAATTTCTAAAATTTGGGTGAAAAGAAACAATATCCAGAGCAGAAAAAATTATGAGTCAAAGTCCTGGGGTGGGCGAGAACTCTCTCGGGAGTCCGATTTGTGACATCGTAGACGTTGGGGAGACAGCAGGATGACACACAGTTCAAGTGGTGTGGTTGGCCGCCACCTTTGAGCCGGGCACCATTGTTTCTCACTCTGAGGGAAAGAGACTTGATTGCTATGCAGCAGGCATGATGCTCTTAGAGGGAAATTCAGTCTCTGAAAATTTCCCCATTTCTGTTATTGCTCCAGTTCACCTAAGTTTCAAAAATTCATATCTGCTTCCATGTCACTTCCTCAACCATGATTGAACGGGCTCAAAGCTCTGCAAGAAAGGGTCTTCCCCTAGATGCTTCTGAAAGAGCATGGCTGACTGACACTTTGATTTGCACTCACAGTACCAGAGTATGGGTGAAACTCAGAATTGGGTTAGGGCACAGCCTCCACTGATATGGCCTGATGAACATAAAGGAAACTCTATCCCCAAACAGAATCACATCCCCAGGTATGTTGTTGTTGTTAAGGGCCATCAAGTCGGTTCCAACTCATAGCGAGCCAATCACAACACATCGGAATACTGCCTGGTCTTGGCCATTCTCACAATCTTTGCTGCGGTTGAGCCCATTGTTAATGCCATTGGTATCAATCCATCTCATTGAGGGTCTTCCTCTTTTCATTGACTCTACTTTACCAAGCATGATGTTCTCCCACAAGGTCTGGGCCTTCCTGATCACATGTCCAAAGTATGTGAGACAAAGTCTCCCCATCTTCACTTCTAAGGACCCTTCATTCGTGCTTTTGGCAGTCCACGGGATATTCAATACTCTTCACCAACACCACAATTCAGAAGCTCTTCCTTACTCTATGCCTGGCTCTCACATGCATGTGTGATGATTGAAGACACCAGGGTTTGTTGGGTCAGGCACATCTTAGCCCTCAAATCGCATCTTGATTGTTGTTAATTGCCTTCAAGTGTATTCCAACACATGGTATTTTCAGGGGTACATCCCCAGGTCTGTCTTGCAGTGCAACTCTGGATGAGTTGGAACCGCCAACCTTTTGATTAGTAGTTGGGTACTAAGCTGTGTGTGCCATGCAGAGACTCCTATCCACAGGTAAAAGGTGAGGAGTCCAACACACAGTTTGTGGACATACAATTCAATCCATGGGCATATCTGGGTCTGAGGGTTAGGGCAGGACTTCAGCCTGTCTGTCTGGGGGACACAATTCAATCCCTAACAGTGACCCATGTGACCCCTCGGCTCTCAACCTCTCCCTCCTGCTGCCTGCTCCTTCCAGGTACACCCATGGCACTGAAGCAGCTCCCAAAGACCTCCACCTCTCTCCGTGGCTTCCTGTATGAGTTCTGTGTGGGTCTCTCGCTGGGTGCACATTCCTCCATCGTGACCACCTATGGTATCGGCATCGAGTCAGCCAACTCGTACAGCTTCCTGACAGAGCCCGTTCTGCACGGGGACCTCATCACCTTCATCCAGCCCAAGGTGGGTAGATGGATCCTGGGCTACCTCAGAGAGCCTCACCAGGGCCTCACAGAAATCTGCCTGGGCCTCATGGCTGGATGTTGCAAAGCAGTTTAAGGTTGACTAAAGTTTGGTGGTTCAAGCTCACCCAGAGGGTACCACGGAAGAAAGATCTGGTGATCTTTCTGTAAAGATTTCCATTACCGTCGAATTGATTCTTACTCATGTTGCTGTTGATAAATGCTATACCGTCCAGTTGGCACTGATTCATATCAACCTGTATCGGGTTTCTGGGGAGCAGCTGTTGAGTTTGAACTGCCAACCCTGTGGTTCACAGCCAGCAGTTACTCTACAGCATCACATCGGGATCTCTTTTAACTCGTATCATCCCTATATAGGAGTCCTGGTGTGGCACTGTAGGATAAGCACTGGACTGCAAACTGCAAGGTCAGTATACAAACACGCCCACTCCTCAGAAACCCTATGCAGGGTTGTAAGAGTCAGAACCGACCCCACAGCACTTCACAACTTCAGCAACCCTATAGAACAGACGAGAATTGCTCCATAGGCTTTCCAAGGCTCCATAGGATAAGAACTGGACCATGAACCACAAAGTTGGTGGTTCAAGCCCACCAGCTGCTCCATGGGAGAAAGATGAGGTTTTCTGCTCCCGAAAAAGATTTAAAACCTCAGAAACCCTATACAGGGTCATTATGAGTTAAAATTGACTCTGTGGCACTTAACAACAATAATCTTTAGAAATGCAGACAGCCACATCTTTCTCCCGAGGAGTGGTTGTTGGTTGGAACTGAACCAGCAATCTTTCAGTAAGCAAGCAAGCACGGTGTCACCAGGGGTCCTTTTAGGGAAATTAAACCCCAAACCCAAACCTAATTCTATAGGACACAGTAGAACTACTCCATACGAATTTTTTTTCTGCCAAAATTTATAACATCATTCACGAGCCATACAAAATTATCCACTTACAAATTAGCCTACTGTATTTAGTCAAATATTTAATTAACTGATGCGGCCCTGCGGGTTAATGCACTGGACTGCAACATCATTTTGAATTTTGAATTACAGGGTTTTGAACCCTCTACAGGGTTGCTATGAGTCAGAACCTACTCATTTAACAACATCACATGATGATGGCTGACGTCCTGGTGAGGCACTGTAGGATAAGCACAGGACCTCAAGGTTGGTTTGAATCACAAAGGTCGGTGGTTCAAACTCACCACCCACTCCTTGGAAAGTCTATACAGTGTCACTATGAGTTGGAACTGATTGGACAACACTCAACAACAACAACTTATAAAATTGAACTTCATTGTGGGCTCACCAAGCCTCATGGACTCCCACTAGGCCCCACTGTAGGGCGCTGGACCTCATGTGCCCCCACCAGGCCCCAGGGGGGCAGGGGAGCCCAGTTGGGTTGGCAGTTCAAGAATCACATTAGGTTTCATTGTAGCAATCTTTCTGAGGGCCTTAAATTTTCACGGCTCAGTGGTTAAAGCATTTAGCTGTTAACTGGAAGGTCAGCAGTTCAAACCCACCTGGTGCTCTGCAGAAGACTGTGGCAGTGGGCTTCATTATAGAAGATCGCCTTAGAAACACTGTGGGACAGTTCTCCTCTGTCCTGTGCGTTGGCTGCGAGCCTGAATGCACTGGAAGGCAGTAGTTTGTCTTTTGTTCTGGAAGCTTCGGTGGTGACATGGTTGAATGCTTGCCTGCTAACCACCCAAAGGTGGGCAGTCTGACTCCATCAAGCAGTCCCCAGGGGGAGAGATGAGGAGGTCTGAAGTCTGAGGCAGTTCAACTCCGCCCTCCAGCGAGGGTGGCAGTGGGATTCTCCCTGGGTCTCCCCAGAAATGCTTCCTTGGATTGAGAAGTTCTTTTTTCTCAGTGCCCCTCCAGCTTTGGGGGCAGGTGGAGGGACCACTAACAGCTTCATCCCCACAGGTGGGTCTCGCGGAGCCGGCAGTCCAGCGCTGTGCAGCTCAGCTGGCCTCGGCCCTAGAACACATCCACTCCCACGGCCTGGTGTACCGAGACCTGAAGCCGGAGAACGTGCTGGTGTGCGACCCCTCCTGCCAGCACGTCAAGTTAACCGACTTCGGCCACACGCGGCCCCGCGGGACCCTGCTCCGCCTGGCCGGGCCGCCCATCCCCTACACAGCCCCCGAGCTCTGCGCCCCGCCGCCCCTTCCCGAGGGGCTGCCCATCCAGCCCGCCCTGGACGCCTGGGCTCTGGGCGTTCTGCTTTTCTGCCTCCTCACTGGCTACTTCCCGTGGGACCAGCCCCTGGAGGAGGCAGACCCCTTCTACGGGGACTTCCTCGTCTGGCAGGCGTCGGGGGAGCCCCAGGACCGGCCGCAGCCCTGGTTCGGCCTGACCCCCGTAGCCGACGCAATGCTGTGGGGGCTGCTGGACCCTCATCCCCGAAAGAGGCAGCCCGTGAGCTCTGTCAGGGGCTACCTGGGCCAGTCCTGGAGGCAGCAGGAGGGAACTGGGGAAGAGGGGGACAGGGAGTGAGCAGGGCTGGGAGAGGAGACAGGTGGGGAGAAACGCAGAAAGGGGCGCTGGTCCTGCCTTCCGAGGTCTGTCTCCTCAGGGTTGCTCTGCTCTGGTGGTCTTTACTTTCTCTTTCGCTTCTTTTCATTGCTGTCTGTTAATATTTTCCACCTCCCTGTCATTCTTAGAAGCTCTGGTGGCACCATGGTTAAGTGGTTGACTGCTAACCCAAAGGTCAGCAGTTCAAACCCAACAGCGGTTCTGTAGGAGAGAGATGTGGTCACCTACTTCCATAAAGGTGACGCCCTTGGAAACCCTATAGAGACAGTTCTATTCTGTGAGGGGAATCCACTCCTCAGTAGGGTCTTTTTGAGTTTTGTCACCCCGATTTACAGCAGGATTTTGTTCAGATGACTCGACTCTGACGTCAGTCAGTTTTGCTTTGTTTCTGTGTTCTAGTTTTCATTATGATTGCCATTGTTGTACGGCCAGAAGTCATTACATTCTTTGTGTGACCATCTGAGAACATTACCATCAGTAAACTACATGCTGCAGCATTGAAGTAGATATTTCTAAAGATAAGATGTAAAAACAACAGACGGTTGTTAAGTGTGGTTCATTGTAATGTAGATCCTTCTCTTGGCCTGTGGGAGTCTCTGAGAGTCTGTGGTCATCACACCATGACAGTGGCCATCCCTACATCCTGCAATACTCCTGCCTCATTCCCTCACCTCCTACAAACCTCAGCTTAAATCCCAATGGGCTTAAATCCTGCCTCCAACTCTGAGCTCCTAACTCGCCTTGCTCTAGACTCGTTCCCTTTTTTATTTCTGTTTCTAATTGTTTCCAAAGAGCGGCTGGTAGGTTTGAACCACTGATCCTGTAGATAGAAGTCCAGTGCTGATCCTACAGCACTTGTTTATTGTCGCTATTCCACGTTATCTGGCAGGAATGTAAGCTCTTTGCCTGCCCTGGTCACTGATGTATCCCACATACCTAGAACATTCTCTGAGTTGTCATCCATGTTCGGTAAGTATCTGTTAAAGAAACAAACCCATCAGTGTCTTCATGTCTCAACTTGGTGGTGGTGTTGGCCTTTTACCTCTTGATCTGTGCGCTTTTTTTCTTTTCTTTTTAATGTTTGGTTTTATTTTTTCTGCTGTGTTGACGACGATGACTATGTTATTTATTGTTCATATTAGAACACATTTAAAAGTAAAAGTGGGCATTCTTACTATGTCAGGAAAATAGAGGTGACCGAGGACTATCTTCAGCAGACTCCAATGCTGAGTTCCTAACTCACCTTGCTCCAATCGCTTTCCCTTTTTTCCTTCTAACTGCATTTTTGTTGTTAAGTGTTGGGTCAGTGCTGACTCCTAGTAACTCATAGCAAACGTCTGATTCTCAGCTGATAACAAACAAAGTTGTGTTATGACCCCCTTATCCGATTCCCTCACCTCCCCCCAACACACACGCACATAATAAGTACAAGGGGGCTTCACAGAGTTCATGGAAAGAATGGAATTAAAAGATTGTGGAATTTTCCCCAAACTTTTTGAAGCCCCCTGTTATTCAAAACTAAACACCTTTCCTGTTGTTTTATGTTTTGTTTTAACATCTTCAGTTTTGCCTTTCCCTTTATTGTTTTTTTTCTGTCTCATTGACATTCTCTTCCAAGGATCGATTTCTGCCATTTTCTTCAACCCATGTGTTGAGTTGCAACCCTTGTTTACGATGCATCTTGATTGAGGTACCTAAGCGCTGCTGCAGCAAAAGTAACACAAAGTGGGTGACTTTCAAGACCAGAAATGTACTGTGTCATAGTTTTGGGGGCTAGAATTCCTAATCAGAGCATCGTCACAAAAGCATAAACTCTCTTATTGGTAGCTCCGGGCATTCCTTGGCTCTTTAATGGCTCTCAGATGATCTAACTCCTCTGAGTGTGCTAGAGTGTGTATTTCTACGTCTAGGAGAGTTTGAGGGTCCTTGGGTGGTACAAATTGTGAAGGGCTCCACTTCTAGCCAAGAGGTTGGAGGTTGGAACCCACCCAGAGGCACTTTGGGAGAAGGCTGGGCAACCTGTTTCTGAAAGAACACAGCCGCAAACACCCTAGGGAGTAGCTCTACTCTGACACACATGTGGGCACCATGAGTCAGAACCTACTCCATGGTAACTAACCACACCAATGGGAGTTGTGTGTGTCTGTGTGTCTGTGTGTCTGTGTGTCTGTGTGGGTGGGAAAGAGAACGGAGATTTGAACATGGAGTCCTGGTATGGCACTGTGGGTTAATGCATCAGACTGCAAAGCCTTTTGAACTACAAGGTCGGTGGTTCAAGCTCATCAGCTTCTCCTCGGAAACCCTATACAGGGTCGCTATGGGTCGGAACCAACTCGATGGCACTTCACAGCAGCAACATCCTATGTGGATAATGTGATTTGTGCCTTTTGTGTTTCTCTGAGAGTGTGAGTCTGTGTGTATGAGCAAGGGAGACAATTCATGTCTGCTTGTAGCTGATAGCATGATTTTGTCTCTCTGACAGAGGCAGAGAGAGAAGAGGAGTATGTATCTTTGTTGGTGGATGATAATATGACCGTGTGTTGTGTGTTCCTAGGAGAGTTTGAACCTGTTTGTGTATAAGTAACTGTGCACATGTGTGTATGAAAGAGAGAGAAGGAAGGTTTGCATGTGTCTTTGTGCGGACTGGATCCTGTGTTTGTGTGTGTATGAGATCTTGGACCCGTGTGTGTGTGACAGAGAGAAAGACAGACAGAATGGGGGTTTGCATGTTTCTGGGTGTGTGTGGGGGGTGGGGGAAGGGGCATTGGATGCTGTGTTTGCTCGTCCAGGAGAACTTGGGTCTTTCTCTCTGTGAGAGAATGAAGGTTGCATGTTTCTTTCTGTGCATGTCTTGGAGTCCTTGGGCCAGTACGTGTGTGGGAGAGAGAATGTGGGTTTGCACGTTTCTCTGTGTGTGTCTGAGAATTGGATACTCTGCATGTCTGGGAGACCTCAGGCCTGTGTTACTGTGTGTGTGAGAGAGAGAGAGAGAATGTGGCTCTTCATGTTTCTGTGTGTATGTGAGAGAGAATGCAGGTCTGCATGTTTCCGTGAGAGAGAGAGAGAGAGAATTCAGGTTTACACGTTTCTGTGTGTGTGTGTGTGTGAAAGAGAATTCAGCTTTGCACGTTTCTCTCTGTGTGTGCGCATAGGTGGGAACTAAATACTGTGTGTGTGTGTACTTAAGAGACCTTGGGCATGTGTGTGCATGCATGTGTGTGTGTGAGAGAGAGAAAAGAATACAGATCTGTATGTTTCTCTGTGTATATGAGAGAGAGAATTCAGGTTTGCACCTTTCTCTCTCTATGTATGTGAGAAGGAATTCAGATTTGCACATTTCTGTGTGTGCATATGTGGGAATTAAATACTGTGTGTGTGTGTATTTAGGAGACCTTGGGCATGTGTGTGTGCATGGGTGTGTGTGAGAGAGAGAATGCGGGTTTGCACGTTTCTCAGTGCGTGTGTGTGTGTGTGTAGGAATTGGATACTGTGTTTGCGTGTTTAGGAGACTTGGGCATGGTGTGTGTGCATGTGTGTGTGAGTGGGGGTGACAGGGGAAGAGAGGTCACATGGACACTGCTACCAGTCACCACCTGGGCCCCTCGCTCCTTCACACCTGCCCCCCAAAGACACACTGGGCCCCTTGCTGGCAGCCACCCTGTTTGCAAACACTCTCTCTTCCTCTCCAGTGCCATTCTTGGCTGCCAGCCTAGAACCAGGCTACAACTCAGGGGAGATTGTGTGTCGCTGTCTCTCTGGCCCTGCACACACACCCGCCCCTGCTGTGGCCACCAAGGTGTTGATTTAAGCGTGTGTGTGGAATGACCTCGAGGACTCCAAGAATCAAGGTTCAAGCCTAAGAAGGAGTTCGAGCCCCTGTCTTTCCTGGGCAATGCTGGTGGGCTTCCTGGAGAAGAGGGTCTTTGGTGTTTAAGGTGATGGGGGACGGGGGACGGGGACATGTACCAGGACCTCCGGTCACCTTACTCGTGAATCTAAAATAGCCCGAGCAAAGAGGCCAAGAATGGACCCCCCTCAAAAAAAGCTGGAGGTGTTTCTGTGGTGAGGTTGGGGCAGAGGTAGAAGGGTGGGGTGATGCCAGGGGTGTTCACCGGTGGTGGCAGCTGAGGATTAACTGGTAGGTGACAATGGTCACGGGTGGACCTCAGCAGGGAAGGAGGTAGGCATTGCCCAGGAAGGTCTTGAGGGGGCCCCCAGCAGTGCTAGTATGCCCCCTGCAGTCTGAAGACTTGGCCAGCATCCTTCAGTGTCTTCTCCATTCCTAAAGGTGGTCCCTTGAGTCCTGCCCCTTTTGAAGGTGGCCACCAGTCTCTCAGAGTGGTGAAGGTACTTGTCCAAGGACACACAGCAGGTCAGTAACAAAGCCGGGATTGGAACTCAGATCCACTTGAGACTGGGGTCCCTGGTCCTACACCACAGTGATGCCTGCTCTCATCAGCGTGTGAAAGGGGGATACCTGCAAGGGGGACCAGAGATGTGTGAGTGTGTGTGTGTGTATGTGTGTGTATGCGGCGAGGTATGGGTGTGTTCGT